AAGTTCTTGTAAATATGCCTCCCTAATTTTAAGTGTTTTATTTTGCAGCCGGAAATTGTTCGCATAGTATTATAGTTGTTTTACTCGGTGTTAAATGTAAATTGTTTTACTGTATTTAATCGTCAATTAATTATTTATGTTCAACCTACTCGATGTATATTTTTATAATTTTTCGTTGTGAATGTAGATTAGTTATGTTCGGTTGCATTGTGGAACTAAAATGTATGTATTCTATTTTAGTTGTAAATTTGGCACTGGCTTGCCACGGCAAATTTTCGATTAAAACCTAATAATATCATGTTTTTGTTTAACTGTGTAGATGTACTATGATAGAGATTTGTTTGTATTATTTGTTGGTTCAGGCAGCTACTAATTTGGACTTGGGAAACCCGCCGACTCCGACAGACGAAGAAAATCATAATATTGACTATAACGCGGAACCGAACATTTGCTAAGTAGACGACAATTTAAAGCCAACATTGGAGAAAAATTAATTAAAAAATAAATTTAAATGAAATCATATCCTATACTATGCAAGATAAGTAACAGTGTTTCAGAGGTTTTCCTAAAAAATTATGCTATGTTAGAAAATAATAGAAACATTCTTTATCAGTGTTATTATTCTATACCGAATTAAACTTTATAATGATCCCACCAAAGCTTAGTTTAAGTGAATTAGTTAATCAAATAATAAATGTATTGACGGCTATTTGAATTACGTGGAATATAAGAGTTAAATGTATTTTTGTATATTCACAAAATTTACTCTTTCTATTTTGTAGGAAAATCTTGAAACGTTTAGCGTTTTCTTAAACTTTTTAGATTATTAACGATTACTAATAATTTAAAAAAAAATCGATGGATGACATCGTTAGGTATTAAATTAGTATTCAAAAATCGATAAACCAGTGTAAACAAACTATTACGAACTACCAATCAAGTACAAAAAATATCTACCTGACACATACAGTCAAATGTTCATTACTTACAAAATTGGATTGCAAATTTAATACATAGGTAGGTAGTTATAGGGTTCGTAAATACGAGATATGTATATTAATCAAACAACTTAACTGTACAAATAGAGTAAGTTTTTAATATGAAAATCTTATAACTCTCAACTGAAGAATTTAGCTTGTTTGCTTACTGCAATTTGATGAATTAAACTATAACATTATCAATGCCAGTATTTTAATGTAAATATGTTATATTAAAAGTGGAATCAAATGAATAGTGTATTTTTATTTACATAATTATATTTATTGATCTTCAAGGGATAAGTGAAACCGAATATTTGCTGTAAGACATTTTATTGAAAAAAAATACTCAATTCTAATAACATTCTTTGAATCAATAATTCCTACAAGAACTAATTCAAATATGAACTTGTTCAAAATAAAAGAGATTCCTTGCACTTGCACATACTTCACGAAATTTACACAAAATGGGTAACATAATAATTCAGCAGAATATCCACAACTACTGTGAAATGATAAAAATATAGCAACATAATGTTTACTTACTTTGTGAGTAATTTGTACAAAATATCACATTCAATAAGAATACTTAGTACTTAACGAAAAACTATACACTTCACATGCAATGTGTATATTCAATGACAATGATGATGATAGAGGAAAATCATAGAGCTACTAAAAGGAACATCTTAGGAAAATAGTTCTACAATGAAAGTAATATTTACATGGTGAAAAGCATCACTGAACTGAAGTATATGCAAGAACAGATAACAAATGTTCAACAAACATGGACATCATACAATTACTGGGTTTTGTTCTGAGCGAAATCACTATTTCTGGCCCTGACATCTTTACCTAAAATTAAAAACTTAACATTGGTACTCTTTTTGTCTTTTGCAAAGATATCAACTGATAGACTTAAGAAATGAGTAAGTACAAGTAGACTTTGATTACCCACAGAAACTTAAAAAGTCTTTGCATAAACACTTCATCTAAACTCATAGATTTGGATGCTATGTTCCGGTACGTGGCTTAGTGTCAGAGATTGATACCTGGAAAAATGACAATACATAATTGAATGAAATATGAAAGAATTAATTATACACAATGTTCACATGTGGAGTAAAGCGGCAGATATTCAAACCATATTTCTATTGCAAAAATGAGTGATACATTCTGTGTCTAGGCTCTCGGGTTTCTCTCAGAGAAAAGTTTAAGCAGACTGGTATTATGACTGTGGCATCACCGTACATTTACTCAAATATTTTATATGCCCGTAAAAATATACATAATTTCACAAGAAACAAGCTATCCATATTATTAACCTTACAGCTAAGGGCAAACTCTTGGTACCACAATTTCGTTTAAACCAAGGTAAACAACTCTTTTATGGGGAACAGTATACGTTTTTACAATAAGATTCCAGAGCATACATATATTAAGATTATCATTTCCTAAGTTTAAAAACTACATTAACGATATTTTGATTGAAAAGACATATTACAAAAATGAAGACTATGTGTTAGATACAGATGTATGGAAAGACGACATGGCTCCAGAATGCACACAAATTTGATTTAAAGTGTATTCCATAGCATTTAAGTTTATTTGAAAAGAGCAATCCCTAGATTTTCTTGCTCGTTCTTCTCAGGGAAGTCTGCCAGCGAACGAGCAGTAGCTCAAATGTGACGTTTTCAAGTGTAAATTTATTTTAAGTATGGAACAAATTATTCTTTGACTTTGATAATAATATATCTTTAATGTAAAAGTTGGTGCAACTATGTGAGTGTTGAGAAAACTCCAAACAATTTGTTGATAAGAAAGTAGACAAATTGTTATCATTATATTTTTGTGGCGTAAACAACTCCAACTCAAAAGTTACTAGGGAAGAGACAAATAGTTTACTAAGTGTTGTTTAATTTTATAGACATGACTTGAGACCTCCATATTGAGTTTCACTGTTTATCAGTACCATAAAAAACGACAATGATGTAAAAGATGCCTCAAATACAATTTACTATAAGCATTGTTCTGAAGACTACTGCTATTACGTAGTTGATCTCTAAAAAAATACTACAAAATTTATACAAACTTACCATTCGGAACTTCGATGATAATAATATCCTTCAATAGTTGCCGCAGACTTATGGAAGCATATGTAATAAAACCCAGCAAATGAAGCACCATTTATGTCCTTAATTGTGTGGTCGGGCACCAAGAAGTGCTCCTTCCATCTCATAAATACGTAGTCAGCCTTAGCAAGAGAGTCATAGTCAAACGAATCAGAGTTGAATGTTTTCAAATACGGCACAAATAAGTCAAATTTACTCTGAAATAACAAACAAAAGTTGACAACATTCAATATTCAAAGTGGAATGAAATAACCACTTTTTAATAATTTGTTTTAAATATAAATTTATAAATGCTATCTTATCTTCTGTCTGCTTATCCATACTTCTACTAGGATTTATGTCAAAATTCTAATCTTGTTAGTTGTTATCAAAAACATTATATTGTATCAAGTTGAATGAGAAAAATGTAGTATGTTAATTATTTTATTTATATATTGTAGACAAATCAGCGATGGCTGCTTGTCTATAACCAAATAAATAAACATTTTACTTGTTTACAATTAATTTAGAATACCAAGCACATACCCAATGTTTCCTGTCTACATCTTCATCAGCGTCCCATTTTCGTGTAAGAAAAGGATATTTGGCTGATATTATTTCACCATCAAAAAAGGTAGTCAACGTAGGAAACTCCTCCGTAAGCCCCTTTATTTTTAAATAACCACAAAGGTATGAATTTTCTTCATCAACATGCTGCAAAAAATAAGTTATATAACCATTATTTCAATATCTAAAGTGAATAAGTGAAACACACAACACATACATGCAAAACACAAAGTACATAAGCACAGATTTCCCAACAGAGTAAATACAACAAAAATACAACAGATTTTCAAGAATTTTTTCTACATAAAGATAAGGGGAAATAATTAAGTGCCCGCCTTTAACAATATTGCGTACTTACTTTGTTTTTGTTACTAACCTGCAAAACGACTTCGACTTCGTAAGAGTTGCCTTTGGATTTTTGGTGCCCTTGGAATTTGGAACCATTGTATAAGAGAGACTTAGTAACACCAGGCTGTTTGGAGTTTGCTGGGGGTGGTGGAGTTATATCAACTTTTACTGGCATTATTTTTCCATCAAAACTACGACCCCGATATTGTACAACGTTATTGACAGACAGCTGTGGATGGATTCCTTCCTCTAGCTTTCCTTTGACAGATCGTCTTCTTTCGAGCAAATTCGATTACTTAAAACTTGAAAGGAATATGGAATCAAAGTGCACTGACGATTCCTTATAAGAAAAAAGGACCTTTCAACAGCGTCTGTTTGTTTTGAAATGCAGTATTTCATGAAAATTTTGTATAAAAGGAAATGAAAGTTTTTCTTGTTTGACTAATTTGACATTTGACAATGACAAACAAATATCTTTGTAGTCTATGTATTTGATAGAGATGTACGTGATTGAAAAAAAAATTAACTCTTTACAATTGAATCATTCAATAATGTATGTACTTTTCTACTACACCAACACCAAACAGGAACGTGGGAAGCGTATATTGTCTGAATTGTCTATGGCAGAATCTTCTCTGTAATCTACGGCATAATGGTAGGTTTTCTTCGTTTCGTTGGTTTCGTTGACCGACCAACTTGTAATATAAATTATTTTGTTTTGTGATATAATTAGAAAATATGTTGAAATATAGATTATAACAAAATGTGTTCGTGTATTATATCAAGTTATATTCGTGAACGTGTTGCCTCCACCTACGTTTTCTGATCTACAAGCAATAGTAGTTGTGATATTTTCCCACATATAATTATGGTTAACTGACGTTAGTCTGTGCATCCTCAATTATGGCAGACCCAGGTTATTATATTCGACACCCTGTTCTGTACGAACTAGGCGTCAAGTATGGAATCAAGACGGAGTGTATTCCAGAAATAGCTTTGCCATCCAAGTTGGAGGAGCTCAAGGATGTCATACGTAGAGAGATACGTAAGGAACTCAAAATAAAGGAGGGTGCCGAGAAACTACGCGAAGTCGCTACAGACCGAAGATCTTTGTCTGACGTTGCTAATATTGTAAAGAAAGCTAATATCAAACTTAATGAACTCAAGTCAGACTTGCAAGAATTGGAGTCCCATCTACTCCTATCTCGCGGTCAATCTACCCCGACCTCGCCGGTGGATCCCTCTTACGATGAGGAGATCATCCTCGCTTCTGAAGCTGCACAGCAGCAAAGGCAGCTTGGTGAGGCTACTGCAGACCGCAAATTGGCCTCTCTTGAAAAACAATTAAATATAGAGCTAAAAGTGAAACAGGGAGCTGAAAACATGATTCAGAGTATAAGCAGCAGTAATCAATCACGGGACAAAAAATTGTTAGCAGAAGCCCATCAAATGCTGGCCGACTCAAAGGCGAAAATTGACTATTTAAAGTTACGTATAACTAAACTGACCAAACAGCAAAAAGGTGAAATAGCTGGAGCAAATGGCGACGGGAGAACCTCAGACCTAAGTGGAGTAGAGCCGTTACTAGATGAGAGAATAGCAGATTTGAGAAACCGTCTTCGAATTGAGACAGCAGTTGTAGAAGGCTCTAAAAATGCCATAAGGCTCTTGCAGAGTGATAAGAAGGTCACTGACAAAAAGGCCCTGCATGAAGCTCAACAAAGTCTCCTAGAGTCAACACAAAAATTAGATTTGCTACGTCGCTCACTAGATATGCGTCGGAAAGAACTACCTACTGAAAGTTCTGCTTTTATTGAACTAGGTCATGAGCTACACACTGCAAGTTCAAGCCCTGGCTACACTAGTCTCTCAGGAGGCAGTGGTTCAAGAGCCCAGTTTTTGTCTGCAGTACCATTGATCAGTCCATGTGTACAAGTCACTGGCACGCTGGAAGTGCGATTGATGGGTTGCCAGGGCTTGTTAGAAGATGTTCCTGGTCGCAGTCGTCGTGATCCCCTGGCCAGTCCATCTGATTTGAAATCTTTTGTTAAAGGGGTGACAATCCGCAACTCTATGAAGTATACCTATAGCATTAAAGAGGATACCAGCAATGAGATTATGGCCGTATTGAAACTTGACAACCACACTGTCGCTCAGACTAGTTGGAGACCTTGTTCGCAACAAGCTTGGGATCAAAGGTAAAATTTTATTGTTATTATAGATATTTTTGCAATTTTATGTAAGAGTATAATGGTTTTTCAATATGCTTCTATAAAATATTGCACACCATAATAGTTGTTATCATAATCTTTAATATTAGTCACTTTATCTTATCTAGCCTCCATGTTTACTATGTGACTCAACTAGTTCACACTAAACCATCATTATGTACATGCCATTAACATGTGTAAATAAGACAACTTATTTTTTTCAGATTTACGATCAAGTTAGACAAGTCAAGAGAACTAGAAATTGGTGTTCATTGGAAAGACTGGCGTGGGCTTTGTGCTGTAAAATTTTTGAGACTAGAAGAGTTCATTGATGACATTAGACATGGTATGGCCTTGGAACTTGAACCACAGGGTCTCCTTTTTGCTAAGATCAAATTCCTGAACCCCATTATATCACGCAAACCAAAACTTCAACGTCAGCGCAAAATTTTCAAACAACAAGGCAAAAATATTCCAAGACCTTCTTATGGAGATATGCATATACCTGCTGTTGTATTAGGCAGGCTACTAAAGCGGTCGTCACCTTCAATTCAGAACATTCAAACAGCCCATATTTCTCAACCACAGCAGCTACACTTTGATTCTCCCTCAGAACAAAAAGAAATAGAAAATCCGAATGTTACTCTTGGTGGCATGGCTGGAATACGTCCTCTTGGTCTGCCTCCTGCTCCTGCAACCCCACAGCCACCAGTGGCACCTCCAAAACCAACCCTTCCCTTACAGCCACCTCCAAATGTATCAACACTTCGCATGGAGAAAGAACTCCAAGAAGCATTTGCATTCTTAGATGATTCTTACAATAGAGATAATTATGTTCCAAAAGAGATTAGTACTCCATCATGTGACACGCCTTTGGTGGAGTATCCCCCATCGCCATCACCGAAACTGGTTATTGAATTCCCAAGTAATGAGGATCAAATTGTTGAAGTCACAAGCAATATGAGGATATCCTCATCCCGCTCTTCTTCGGTAATAGAAACAGCTGGCAAAGAGGATTCCCGAAGGCAATCTGGTGAAATGTCTATGGACAGTTTCAGGTTGTTAAGTGTCCTGGGAAGAGGACATTTTGGAAAAGTTATTTTATCACAGTACAAACCTACAAATGAATATTTTGCAATAAAAGCTTTAAAGAAAGGTGATATCATTGCTAGAGATGAAGTTGATTCATTGTTGTCAGAGAAGAGAATTTTTGAGGTAGCTAATGCAATAAGACACCCATTTTTGGTGAATCTATTTGCTTGTTTCCAAACGGAGCAACATGTTTGTTTTGTAATGGAATATGCAGCTGGAGGTGATCTCATGATGCATATACATGCTGATGTGTTCACCGAACCGAGGGCAGTATTTTATGCAGCTTGTGTAGTATTAGGTCTACAGTATTTACATGAGAATAATATTATTTATAGAGATTTGAAGTTAGATAATTTACTGCTGGACACTGAGGGTTATGTCAAAATTGCTGACTTTGGACTATGCAAAGAAGGAATGGGTTGGGGTGACAGAACCGGGACATTTTGTGGTACTCCAGAATTCTTAGCACCTGAAGTTTTAACAGAAACGTCGTATACACGTGCTGTAGATTGGTGGGGCCTTGGTGTACTCATTTTTGAAATGTTAGTTGGAGAATCGCCTTTCCCTGGAGAAGATGAAGGCGAAGTATTTGACTCTATTGTCAATGATGAAGTACGTTATCCCAGAACCTTATCTTTGGAAGCGATTGCGTTAATGCGCCGTTTGTTGCGCAAAAATCCCGAAAGACGTCTAGGATCATCTGAACGAGATGCCGAGGATGTAAAAAAGCAGGCATTTTTCTTCAGTATTAATTGGGAACAATTACTTCTACGTAAAGTGAAGCCACCTTTTGTGCCAACAATAAGAAATCTTGAGGATGTAAGCAACTTTGACAGTGAGTTTACATCAGAGACGCCTGTATTAACTCCGCCTAAAGAGCCACGCCCCCTCAGTACTGCAGACCACAAGCTATTTAATGACTTCACATACATGGCAGATTGGTGCTAGAAACAATGTGTCAAAACATATTTAAAGTTAATAGATAATTTCTTACAGTAATTACAGTATTGTATTACAAACAATAAACCCCATTGCCTTACAAGTTGTGTGAAAAGTTCTGTATTTGATAAGTGTTATCTCTAACAAAAGAGTGTCGTAACATAAGATTCTCTTGTTAATTTGTATTTAATGCAGTTAAATGCAATATTTTATAATAAAACTGTGTAATTTAATATTAATAAGTTTTAAATATAGTGCTAATGTTTATTTTTTTAAAACATCGTGTTATAGATTTATATAATTATTATTATGTAGTTATGAAATGATTAACTTAGAAAGTAATAAAGATTTTAATGGTTAAGTGAAGGCGTGTCAAAATCATATTACGTTTTCAGTCAATTGTTTACTTATTCAGTGAAATAAAGATATCTTAAACTTTAATAGTGATGCTTTAAATACATATTATATTAACCTTAATATAATTTCAATAAAATTAGGACAGCAAAGTACACATTTGAATGAGAAAATATGTACATTGAAAAAATATTACTAACTTCTAACAGTCTTATGTAAAGGCAGAATAAAACAACTGTATGGGAATCATAACTTCTTAATTTTTTATATACCGCAAATTATGAGCTCATTATAAAACATGGAACTGATTGCCATTCAACAAAAGGACTTGTTACATGGTGTCATGTATAGTTTGGCGCTGTGTAAACAGAACGTCATTGGATTAATAGAAAAAAATACATTATATACACAGGTCAGTTTGCAAACTATCTTCAACTACTGGAAAACATCATACACTTCATACAAGCCCAAAAAAGATCTGATAAGGAAGAAGACATGTCACAATTTTGCTTATGAATCAAATCACACTAATACAATTTTATATCTTACTCAACTTTAAACAATAAGATTCTCAATAATCAACAGAGTATTCGTCTAGTTTCCTTTACACCCCCAGATCAAGACAATATTAAATACAAATTGCCATCCAATTGACTACTTAATCTTTTAAATAACATTCTGACTAACCCATTTAGGGAAATAAGTGTCTTTCACAATACATTTTATATGTAGAATCCTAGCTCTCTACTGAGAAAATCCCTCTCATATTTGTTTCTAATAATTCAACTGAAGCAATAAGAAACAAGTTTTAAATTTAACTTAATTGGTGTTAAAGGGTACAAACCTAAACAAGACATTTTATAAAGAAAGTAGTTCACATTATTATATACAATTCCACACATAGCTGACAGTCTTAAATTATAAATAACACCTGAATGACATGTCTTAAGGGTTGCTCACATACGCGACCCCTTTTGTTGCAGCACCTTCGCGCGGTCTGTGGGCTCCACATCATTGCTGTTGAGGGAGTTGCCACACTCTCGACTGACCACACAAAGAAACTCTGCATGTTCCTCATTGCCGTAATTGTACTGTGAGCCAATATTAATAAGTTGTTCAAACTTCCAACCGTCCGACATTGTTGATACCATTTGAGTGAGTTCTTCTTCATGGAACTGCAATACTCTGTACACATGTTTCTTTGAATCTTTCTGTGGTCTTCTTTCTCTATTGCATATTCTTTCTTTAACTAACCTTATCAACTCTGTAATATTATAAAACTCCGCTTCCTCCAAAACCCCCTCCTCGGCGATATCATTGTTGATAACTAGTTTACCATGTCGTAGATAGTTGAGCACTGGCGAAAAGTAAGTAGGGTCTCTATCTATTAAATACGCACCCGTCTCGTCCTGCAAATAAAAAAAATTGCATTAAATTTAAGATTTCATAACAATCATCATATCATTTCAGCTGAAAGACGTCCACTGCTGGACATGGGCCAATAATAAAGCCAGTCCAATAAGATAATCTTATTAGCATATAAAAAGATGAGAAATCGCACAAACCCTGTCTGAAATCAAATCGCTGTCCTCTTGAACTAATCGATACAAAAATGAATTAGGATCCCTACATAGTGTAGTTTTAGTGGTTAAAAAATATGTTCCCCCAACGTTGAGCTTCACCCATTGCTTGCTACTCCGTCTTTCACTGTTGAATTTTTGTATATTTTCTTTGGTAAAATCACCGTCACTTAATCGCTCCGCCATGGCGTACCATAAACAAAAATATATTTTTTTACAGATAACAAAAAAGTTAAACTCGGCCATAACGCTTGTCAGTCTATCAATAAAGATTGCGATCCATATCTCGAATCTCAATAAAAAATATTCCGATTAAACGCTTGAATGTACGTACTTTCGAACATATTTGCAAGGAACACTAATATTTTACGACAAAAATAACGGGGCAGAAAAACATTTCTCGTGAATGTATTTGCTTATCGTCTTCATCAATGACCCTTTGGACACACTCGCTTTCCCAGATTTCCCACACGCAAACCTTGGGCGTGGCACACGATTACACCTTCAACAAACTTAAATAACATACTCTGTTTATAGGTAGGTAATCACTCGCGAATGACTGCAGAAATGGATCGCCGCCCCGGCCGCCTGTTACGCATACATCTAGTTACAATTTTGGTAGTCTAATAAAACCGTTAAGAAGTAGTGCATTCATTAAAGCCTCAAATCAATTCTACTGTATTTTAAAAAAATCTTTTGAAATATAAATAAAAATGTTGTGAAATGTTTGTCAATAAACACAAAATTTTAAAATTAAAAAATTAAAATGAATTTTGCAAACCTATTACGTTCCAAAGAGAACTCTCTTTTGCTTGGCACTATTTTGTTTTGTTTGTCTATGGCTTTTGACAAAAAGAACTTTCCTCTGATGCCGTTTTATTTGGGTCGCAGATTTTTAGTAATTTCCCGAAACGACAAGCATTGTTTTGAGAAGGTTTGTTTTGGGACGGTGAAGTGAATTCGTACAATGTAATCTTGATAGATTTCAAATGTATAGTGTGTCACAATGAGCAGTAATGTAGAGAATGATAGGTCGATAACAGCGGGCAAGATGTATCCCATTGACTTGGCACCGCAGAAAATTACTATCGTGAAAAGTGTATCCAATGCAGAAGTGAAAATGGCGCACCTAATCCCAGGGCAGCCCAAAACCACCGCCGCAGGTCAATTAATAACTCATCCAGGGCCTGTCGGCTTGTTGCGTCCAACTGCCCAAATCCTCTCGCCTGGCGTCTCCTCGCAGGTTAGCATAGCTTTTTGTTATTTCTTTAACTAAACTATCTTAAAATATTTAATTACAAAGCATTCACGGTGGCTTTGACGCTTGACAACTTAAAAAAGTTATGAAAATGGCATTACAAAAATAAATAGTTTGTCATTTTTAATGGTCCTCTTTTTATACTACTGTAACAATTATTTTCAAGTAATAATTTTTGCTGTTTTTTTCTGTTTTACAGCCACAGATGATAGTGACGGGCTCACCCCTCTTGCAAGGCACACAGATAGTTAGTCAAGGGTCACAGATCATTGGACAAAGTTCTCAAATAATTAGCCCTGGTGGGCAGATATTGAGTCCAGGAACTCAGATTATAAGCCAAGGGACTCAACTTACTGCAGTGTCAAGTACTAGTAATACAGGTTCCAGTAATGTTCAAGTTAGTGTGCCGTCATCAGTGAGTGGCCAAGTACTTAGTGTGGGTGGATTAGTGAGTGCAGGACCGGCTCAACTTGTGAGTGGAGCTGCCAATCTTGTGGTCAGCTCTTCGGTGCGTACTTTACCACCAAGTGTTAGAGTACTGCCGCCCCTACCTCATCATAATAATAGACCAGGTAATTTTTTATCTTCTTCTTTTTATGATGTAAAATAACCAAAATGGAATTATTTTTCAATGCAGAAAACATAATTTCTCTCAACTTGTAATTTTATTAATGCTTGTCATGTAGCAACTAAATTTAAAAACTACTATTTTTTATTTTTATTTTTTGAGCTACTATTTAAACTTATTTTTTAAAGGCAAAGATTACTTCTGTTCCTTTAAAAAATAAGTTTAAATAGTTAAATATTTTTTAAAGGAACAGAAGTAATCTTTTCCTTTATGATAAATATATTTTTTTAATTATGTGTTTATTGTAGATGCAATATTTATGTATGTACATATAGCAATACTTTAAAAATATGTTTCTATTATAATTCACAGCTACAGCCGTTCTATCAACAGTCAATGTATCAAGTGCAGGTGGTGTACTGGTAAGCAAAGGTGTGACTAGCCACGTACCGCGAGGTCTTGCCGCCGGTGCTTCACTTGCCGTGCGTCCTGTCGCGCCAGCCGCATCTGCCATTAGTGGTCAGTATTAACATGTTATTTATAAAGTTTCCTATGTCCAAAAACTGTCTGATTCATATTTTATGGTTGTTCTTAGGATATAATAAGATTAGCTCTCGGAATGAAAAAGGGCACAACTGTTGTGTAAAGTACGCCTAGTTGTGTCTTTTCTCATTATGAGGGCAGAGTTATGCATTATATAAATAAGTATTATAATTAATTTGATATTAAACAACATTCTTGTTTATTTTTATTAAGGACATTATTGCAAACTTTTATTCTTACTAGGAGATTGTGTCTAAACAGTGAAAAATAATTCATGGATATAAGTCTCAATCAAATTTAATTTTACTGTGCAATAATAATACTGCTGAAACATAGTCTTTTGACTACAATAATACTCAATCAAATTCTGTACATCTTGTTCCGGATGTTTAGAGATACATGTACATAGAAAATTTGCTTAATAAAATACTTTTTTTTATATAAGAATATCAATTCTATTTCAAGGTGGCGCATGGTCAAGTGGTCGTGGTCGTGGTGCGTTAGTATACGGCGCGCGAACGCCTCTAACACGCGCTGCGCCCCCCCGCGCGCCGTCTGCGCCACCCGCACCCACAAGTACTCCCTCCCCAGCACCCTCACCAGCCTGCGCCGCTGGTCCCACAGCAACAATCACAGTGACACAAGCATCACATTCTGCCATGGTCACTTTGCCCACAACTACAGTACTTACTTGTAAGTTATTCCTTCTTTATTTATCTTATAATGTAGAGATTGTGATATATCTTAGTTTATTGACAAGAGAAGTACTTAGCCTGAATTGGGGCTTATGGTTACCCTTACCCAAATTGGGATTTGTTTCTCATTTTCGTTGTTGTATTTAATTCCATTTATATTTTCATTTCCTTCTCCTACGTCTATGATGTACAGCGACTGGTGTGATATCAGGCACGCTGCGTGCCGCAACGCCTGCACCTCGTCCTACCACGCCGACGCCTGCCGCCGTCACACCTCGACCGCTACCGTTGTTGCAGAGAAATTACCAACCTAAGGTATAAAACGAAGTTATTACCATAAAAAACATACGAAACTATACCATTTTTTTCCAAGACGGAGTAAATTGAAGTTCATTGCGCAAAAGTGTTGCTTACAAACAGTGAATCCGTTAATAAATAATCTATCGATTGAATATTCGTTACGTTTACGCAATAAATATTCACATTACTGCTAGGCGGAAGAAATAGGTAAGGCACCGCCATACTTTTTTGAACGAACTCTTTCACAAGGAGCTCTACTGCTATTAATTTGCAGGTATATAAATTATTATTACAGTAAAATGCTCCATCCAAGTGCACACATTCATCTAGATATATTTTTTTTTAAATTAAGCAATTTGTTAATAGTACACATTACAACTACATGAAAGCTGTACTTACCCCAAATTATTACTCAGAAAATTCAGAATTTTGTTAGAGCTCAAATTCAAAACAATAATATACCTACATATTTCAACTGTCCATGCATATTAGGATTGTAGATGTCTCCTTTGATATTTGCACCTATCTTTTTTTTACGCGGATGTTTTATCTGTAATTGTATATTGTATAAAAGGGCAATAATTCGAATTAGAATAAGCACATGTATCTGTAATTTACTAGTTGGCATATTAAGATCGAAACCATGCAATCCTAATAGGCCAAATGTCAAAATAAGAATAATGAAGGCGTTAATGCAATTATTAATCATTGGAACGTGATAACATTCACTATTCATACAATGTTTTGAGAAATTATAATATATCTTTTACAATCTATGCATGCATACATGACTAATTAAAATTTAAAAAACTGGCAACCTTACAAATGTCATTTTACTCTGTCTTCAAAAAAGACCGACTATAATTTTATTCATTCAACGTCATCATCAACCCATTGTACATCCCACTGCTGGACATGGGTCTCATCTAGGAGAGGATTTATTCATTTAACTTTTTTTTATTAAACTACTATACTATATTACAAAGCATGCATATTATTTTTTTTATTAAATTGTGTTAAAATTTATCTCAATTGCATTACTTTAAAAAAGAAACACAAAAATTTATTGTTTATGAACCATACAATTCTTTCAGCCTAGGCCAGGAAAGCTAGTATAAAAATCCATTTCTGTATGTTGTTGTGCACTTTTAAACGTACCTAGTAACAATGAGCTATGTAAACAGACAAAGAAAAGTTGTCACACAGCCAACTAGCTTCAATGTCCGTAATTCCGAGAATTTAAAAAAAAATGTCATTTTACTGTGTCTATTATATTATAACATCTCCTTCATTTTTTAGTTTTATTATTCCCTCACAGTATTTGAGAAAAACACTGTACACAAGGTTTGTAGTAATATGCTAACAACCTCGCAGGACCATATTACTAACATCATAAAACAACTTTTGTTCCATGACTTTTAATCTTTTTGTTATGAAAATAAAAATATTTAAATAGAGCGCAAGTGATAACTCTGTGCGGTAACAAAATAAAGCGCAAGCGTAATTACGATGCAAAACGCAATAGCGGGGGTTAGGGTCGTTTTGAACTTACTAAATAGAGATCTAAAAAGTCAGATAGTACACATAAAACTTAAAAATTTACGTTTGGTAAATTTATTATGTTTTATAAAAAGTAATGGAATAAAAACTGCGAGATTTTACAAGTAATCCTGTATAACTACAACGGGAGCCAGCATTGCCCGATTCGTTAACTCATACTCGTCAGACATCCCTGATTTCCCGGCCTCTATAGTAAACTAGAGAAAGCTGTAACAATTCCTGCTTTTAATATTATGATCATAAAATCATTCTGTTCTTCAGGTGGTAGGAGTAGCGAGCGTAGGCGTACGAGGCGTAGTCGGCAACAGTGCGCCCGCGCAGCTCTACTACGAAGTACCCCGTGCACAGCTCAATACGCAACACCCGCAGCATACTGTCCCGCACACGCAAGCGACGGGACATTCGCGCCCGCTCACTCCATTTGCGCACGCTCAACCTGCGCAAGGTACGATTATTAATAATTATACATTATTTCAGAAGCGCATCCATATTTGATAGTAACAATAATCTTGTCAAGTATGTTAGTAACGTCACATAATTATATAAAAATATTACAATTATAAATAAAAATGCACCCACATAACATAGAACATAGTGTCACAAAAACGGTAATTAGACAATCACGAACAGAGGGACAGAGAGACGGGGGCGAAAACTTTAATGAACGATTGTAATTGCTGTTTTATCCATGTGATACAAAGCATTTCATCACACTTACGAAGTAGTTAAAATAAAAGGAAAATTAGACTTAAAAACGTCACAGTTTAATCCTATTACATTTACAAAACTTTCTCAAAAATGTTAAGATAATATGAAGAATAAAGAATAATATTTTTTATAGAAAATAATAGGGGTTAATCGAGTCGATATTCAAATGTTTCAAATTAAAAAAAAAAAA